AACACAAGAGTCCATTAGAAAGCATGTAAACTAAGGAAAGTATAAAAGATTTTAAAATGTTCCACCTGACTACAGCACTGTAATTAAATATATACCCCCTCAGTTTTACAAATAGGTAAACTAAGACAAGAGTCAGAACTCAGGGACCTGATCAAACATGTCTCCATTTCCACTAACACTCTCCTAATTAGCTTACTGTTAGACGACTTACGTAAATTGTCATATGTGTCAGGAAAATGTGTCCGAGATTTTAAAATGAGCAACAGAATTTACTGGGTCCTTGCATTAGTGAAATACTGGGCATTAGTCTAGTAGACCACGTAGGAATTACCTGATTTTATAGGGGTGCGCATCTCTGACTGACTTTCTATTTACTAGGTTATTCTGGAACTCTATGGTGGGAGAAGTTAACTCACAGAAAATTGATAATAATGCAACTGGTTCTTGTTTACATCAGTGCAAAGGATTTTGCTCAGTTGAGATACAATTTTACCCAATAGAAGAAATAAGTCCAATCTTAAGTTTTATTGCCTTACAGAATATTAACCAGTTTTGCATCTGTTAGCACATTTATTTCAGCCTTTCAGATTGTGCGTTGTCTGTTCTTCATATTCTCCTTTGAAGCAGCTTTAACTCATTGATTAGTGAGATATATGAAATCTTTGACACTGTGTTCATATTATATTGGTTTGAAAGTCAAGTTTTCAGCTTTTCATTGAATGATAACACCAATATGTTTGGGGGGTTCAAAAGAGGGAGAGAGAACTCCTGACTGGGATGTCAAGGGCTGAATGACAGAGCACATGACCAAGGGGAAGGGGAAGCTGTTATGTTTGAAAGATTATTAATTGGCAGAAAAGGAGAACCCAGAGCACATTTTCTAAGTGTTTGGAAGGTAGGACACCATAGTTCAGAAAAGGCAATGGAGCAGGGAATTTGGGTTGTCGCAAAACTGTATAAATGCCAGAGGTTGTAAATAGAACCTCGAGGGTGAATGGTCTCTTCAATGACTGCTCCTTGTCACATGGCTTGCTGGGGAAAGTACCTACATAAATTCTTTTTAATCCCTGAAGAATCTTGAGGTAGGGATTTCCCTCTAAATTTACAGATGAAGGAAGTGTTCATGGTCTCAATAATATAAAATATCACACATCACAGTTTTGTAAGTGATGAAGCTTGAATTCAAACATACACATCTGATTCAAGATCCTCATGTTTTCTACTCTTCCTGCATTGCCTTTAAAACTGTATTTTAGGTTCTCTGCATGAAGACCAAAAATGAAGCAAAAGAAAACAACTCACCCCTGATCATTGTGCACACAAAATTGGATCTTTCAATAGCTGTTTTGCCAGTTCATACATATGTGTTTGGGTTGTTTTTCTGTAGGAAATGAAAAGTTTCTGAAGGCTATTAATTTGGGAGACTAACTAAAGACTACTATGGGACAGAATGGAAAGAAAACATTGGATGAACCTCTCTCTTTAACCAAAGCAGGAGGGATTTTAACAACAACAAAAACATGTTTTAAAACTCAGTAGAGGTTTTAAACCAAGACCAAGACCTAATTTGAGTCCTCCATGCTCTATATTTCTCTTATTATGTGTCCTATAATAAACCACGTCCTGCCTCTTCACTTCACATCCCTTCTTTCACGCAGGTGGAAAGAACGGAAGAGGGAAGATAAATTAGAGGGAGAGAAAAATGGCAACGGAAGGAAAGGGAGGAGAGAAGAGCAGAGAGGAGAAGGGATTGGACCCTTGCAGGAACTGTTAAGATGCTGGAGATACTACTGTACAGGGAATCTTTAAGTCCCACTCACAGGCCCAGTCTCCACTAATAAAAACTTAAGATGAAATACTGTGAGCAGCGGGGAAAGCTCCTGAAACCGGTAGTTGCAACATGGGCCGAAAAAATCTATATCCCAAGTCTCCTTCTCCTTAAGGTCGGTCTCGTAACCGTGGTCAGCAGGGGTGGAGTGAGAGAGTCTCAAAGTAGGTGATGTGGGCTCCCGGTTTTCAGAGCAGCATCAGTTCTGTCGCCCAGCGCACGTCTTCACCGTAAAACTCCTCCTTTCCCGTCTTTCGGTTTTGTAATAGTGCTTGGTTTGCTCCTGTAATTTCTAAAACTGACTGGTTCCTCTCCTTCCTGGATGGAACAGTCTTCAGTCATGGACAGAATTGTTACCACTGAGGGGCTGTTGTCGTCGTGTCAGGATGGCCGAGTGGTCTAAGGCGCCAGACTCAAGCTTGTGTCTTCCCTCTCTTGGGGCTTCTGGTCCCCGCATGGGGGCGTGGGTTCGAATCCCACTTCTGACAGGCTTCAGTTTTGTTCTCGGCAGGCACACTCACCTTTCAGCCTTTTAAAAATCTCATACTTGCCCTTCCACCTTGGTTCCCCCGGCACTTGAGCATCACCCTCGCTTATTCCGTAGTTCGGTCCTTTCTGCCTCTAAAGACACCCCTCCACCAGCATCTCCCGAACCTCCAGTCAAGCCTTTAACAAATGAAAATTCCCAATTAGAGAACCTGGAGTATTGGGCACATTCTAAAAATCTTAGCGCCACCGTTGATGACCCTCTCTTCCCGAAAGAAGCCAGCAGTGGATTTCCAGCAGAAGGTGGTGCCTTGCTATGTCAGCCTGTTGATCTTAACGAAACCCAGGAACTTGACTCAAAAACAAACAAAACAAAACAAAAATACAAAGTAACCAGGAAGATCTCCCTTTCCCGGAGAGACCCACTTGCTGTGGGCAGGAGGAAAACGTTATACTGTCTGCCTCGCTGTTGGCAAATCAAAGGCCAATCTCCTGCATGACCACATCAGCCAGAAGGACCCAGACTTTCTCTAGTGGTAGCTCAGCTTAAGGGTCTCCCACGCAAAGTCCTAGACTTTTCCAGTGGGGAAATTACTGGAAAATTTACAGCTTTTCCCCATAGAGAGGAATTGAAAGAAACAAAATGGAAACAATCATACAACTGTTAAAATCAATTTGCAGTCTTTGTATTTTTGTATTAATGAGAAAGATATACAAAGGAGTAAGTATATACAGTTTCTGGTTTTGCCTTTTACATTTAGAAACAACATCACAATACCTTATTTTACCATCTCCCAAGTTAAATATTTAAGAAATGACACGTTGGGGAAAGTGGCAAGTACTCAGAACATTGTCTCCTAAGTTTTTTGTTTTGTTTTGTTTTGTTTTGTTTTTTTTAAATCAAGCTCTGTAACAATTTCCTGGCTAGAAGGATCCTCAGAGCTCAGTACTCACCATCTTGAGCAGGTGTTGGGTACCTTATAAAGAGAAGTAAACATTGTAAAATTATTTTTATTTTATCAATACTTTTTAGGTTTCTCTGTCTAGTCCAAAATACAGTAGGAATGCTTTGAAATAGAAAATAAAGCCAGTAACAGGAAAATAAACAGTCCCAACTCGAAACAGTGGTTGAAAAAGATGAAAATGAAGAATGGAGAAAAAAAATTTAGAATTTCGTGATTGCAGGGGAAATGCAGAGCAGAAAAGAGTGGTGCGTGCTTAGGAATCTGTAGAGTGTAAAAAAGTGGAATTTAATGATGGAAGGGAA